TTGCACATTCCTCTGAACCTGTGTGCAGACCTAAAGTGCATTCAAACTGTTTTTGTGCATGTTATGATCTACACCCTGAATTTTGTGAGCATACACAGGGATCCAGGTTGTGTGTGGTCTGTACATATAGTTTGAATGAAAGTGCAGGCGTGTCAGGCTTCAGGCAATCGGCTTCTTCAACACCCTTTTGGCAGTAGATTAGCAGAACAAAGTGAAAGGAGTCTCTTACCAGTTAGAAATTTTAATGATCACAGAGAGAGAACAAAGAATCCATTTCCTAGGAATGACGGTGCTCCCAATTAAGGGTTCCACCTACTTCCTTCCACGTCACCCCCGTCACTACCGCGTCTTGCAACCTGATCTCATAACCGCTGTGCTTTCTGTGCTGCCACCTTATCTGCTCTTCTTGACCTTGGACTGGGCAGATGGACACATTCCAGAGACAGTGAGTCTGTTAACTCTCTCTCCCCCAGTGCTTCCTCTCCAAGCTGTTCCCCCTCCAGTACTTCCCAGCTTCTGCCTTCTGAACTATGTCCCTCTGCAAACCACAGTTCCAAATCTATACCATCCTCCTGCTCCTGGGAAGACTCAGGATCCTGATCAGGAGCAGGGGAAGGGGGAGGCTCCCACCATTCCTCCTCAGAGAAGCCCTCCTCAGCATGGTCCATGACAAGGGCGGAGCTATGAGAGACAAGACGATGAAGCAAGAGGAGGGAAGACAAGGGATGCAGAGCTACCCCACCAGTGCAGCTGAGACCAGTACTCCTTGAGCTTTTCCATCCCAGCTGGTCATTGGAGGAGCCTAGGTTGGCTTATTTCCTCCCACTCCATTTCGCCCTTTGTGTTGTAAGCAGCGACTATCTTTTAATACATATTTGTAAGCCCCTCTGGGAAGCTTTGATGGGTGTAAAGAACTGAAAAAAAATTGTATGGTCATTGGGATGGGTGGGCAAGACTACTTAATTCCAGGCTACTTCGTGGATCAGTTTTAATCATCTAGAAAAGTACAAACCCATATTATTTACCTTAACATTATTTTTACCTCTGCATCCTGCACGATGCATTGGTTCCTTAATGGGTGATAACCATTTTAAACTGCAGAAATTAAATACAGATTCAAACAGGTAAGTGAAAACATCCAAGGCTCACAAACATAGAATTGATTTTGTTACCAGTAATTAATATTAATTAAGGCTGAAGTTTCAAGGTATGAAACAACTGAAGCAATCGGCAGGGTTCGGTCTCCTATTTGTCAACTTTTATTTGAAAACAGCAGGAGAAGCTTTGATCCGAACAATATTTAGCCTCAAACCATCATGCAGATTGTTTTATCTGGTTGTAATTGTAAAAAGACAGCTTTGGTCGAAGCTTCCGAACACTTTTTATTGCTAATTTTGGCTGTAAACCTGTTAATTAGTTACTAGTAAAACGTTAGTGAATGGAGCAAAAAGGACCCATCTGTTTAAGATTACAATGATGTCTTCTGGGCATAACATTTTAAAACAATGGCGCTAATCACTGTATCATCTATTTATTGTAGAAAACTCACACAAACACTCCTTTGCCTTCATATCCCAGCACTTTATAATGCCAAAACCAGTACCTCCAAAACTTCTTTTTTACTTAAAATAACACATACACAATTTAACATGGCACATATTAATCCCCACTGCCCACCTCGCTGGAAGTAGATTTCTGGCTCAGCCGGGGTGGGGTGGGGGCCTTCTTCAGGCCTGAGGGTGGGGTTTTCCTCCCGCCCTTTGCAGCTGTGAGACTTCTGGAACTATTCAGCATCCAACTGCGTTCTGGAGAGCTGAGGCTCCAGAGACGACCTGCATGAAGACTTCACCCATCCAGGTCTTCTCCAGGGGAATATAAGGAGAAAAAGTGGGGCATTCAGCACCACAGTCCTCACTTGCCTTTTGCACCCACCCCCTGTAGTTGGCAGTTGCAAAGCTATTCTCATGGATCAGAATGCTGCCCTTCTTGGTCCTAGGTCTGTGGGTTTCGCCTACCTCATAGCAGTCATCACAACTTTAGGGTGGAAGAGATATTAGGCTGGATCGGTGTGATCTCAAGGGGTGTGGCACACCAAACTGATGTGGCAGGAGAGGATGGCAGGTGTGGCAGGAAGAGTCAAGGACAATCTAAGAAACATTTAAACATTTCAGCATGGTATAGTACAGTATAGTATAGTATAGTATAGTATAGTATAGTATAGTATAGTATAGTATTCAAATAATTTTATTTGCAGAATACTTGAATATATCTTTTCAAAATGAGAACAAGAGCATCAAGTGAGGACAACCTTAGCTATTGTTTGTAATTATATTTGAGGAATGATTCATGTTCTTATGTAGCTGCATTGTTTTATAGTTTCGGGATGTGCCATGATCATAGTTGTGTTCTATCAAACACTTCTAGGAGTTGTTTCTTTTTGTTTTCTGGTATATTTCTTAACAATTAAGTGCTCTCAGCCACTGCCATGGTGGACATCTAATAATGGGCAGCACCAGCCATGAATCAACCAACAGATAGGCTGGTTGGTCAATGGGCACATGCCCAAAGCCCATACCAAACCTATCTGAATGTAATCAATAAAGTTGTGGTCTAATTCAAACCAATGCATGTTTTCTGATCTGCTACGTCCTGATACCTTCACTGTGCTTCACTGCAAACACACTTTGTGAATATGGTATCGTTTGAAGCTATCTATCTATCTATCTATCTATCTATCATCTATCTAATCTATTTATCTATCATCTATCTAAATGTGTCTAATATTTTTGACTATGGCCTCTCCTGCTAGATGTTCCATGAGCCACTATGGACTGATTACCGTATTTTTCGCTCTATAAGACGCACCAGACCACAAGATGCACCTAGTTTTTAGAGGAGGAAAACAAGAAAAAAAATATTCTGAATCTCAGAAGCCAGAACAGCAAGAGGGATCACTGCGCAATCCCTCTTGCTGTTCTGGCTTCTGGGATAGCTGTGCAGCCTGCATTCGCTCCATAAGACGCACACACATTTCCCCTTACTTTTTAGGAGGGAAAAAGTGTGTCTTATAGAGCAAAAAATACGGTAAATGCAGAGGAATGGTGGCGCGAACCAAGCACCAAGAGAAGAAGGTTCAGAGCCCGGGAGGTGCTGGTGGAATGACGACGAGTGGTCAGAGAGAGAAGATGGAGCAGACTGCGAAGAGGAGGTGTCAGAAGCTGAAGAAGTGACGGGGCCTAGTGAGCTGGGAGACTCTGTAGCAGAGAGAAGTCCAGAATCGGAGGCAGAAGCCAAAGCAGGTGAGTGGGAAGAGGGAGACCAAGAGGCAGGGATGGGTTAGGCTGGTGAAGAGTCATGGGTGTCTCCACCTTCTGCTGCAACAAGCTCCCCTCCCCACTGTCTCCCAGAACCAGAAGAGGGCTGAAACAGATGGAGCAGCATCAGGTGGCATGCAAGTACAGTCTCCAATTGCTTGGGTAAAGCCCTGAAGAGGAAGAGCTATAGACGGCTGTGGGGATGCAGGGACTTTTAGTCTCAGCAGTTGATTCATGAGTTAAGACCAACTGGGGATGAGCTCATTAGGCCTGACATTCAGTCAAGTCTGTGAAGATCATGTTTTTCCTAACAAATACTTGTTAGGAAACCACATAACACCGAGACCACATAACACCAGTCTTGAAAGACCTACATTGGCTCCTAGTACGTTTCCGAGCACAATTCAAAGTGTTGGTGCTGACCTTTAAAGCCCTAAACAGTCTCGGCCCAGTATAGCTGAAGGAGCGCCTCCACCCCATCAATCAGCCCAGACACTGAGGTCCAGCTCCGAGGGTCTTCTGGTGGTTCCCTCACTGCGAGAAGCCAAGTGACGGGGCCTAGTGAGCTGAGAGACTCCAGGCAGAGGGCCTTCTCAATAGTGGCACCTGCCCTGTGGAACGCCCTCCCATCAGATGTCAAGGAGATAAACAACTACCTGACATTCAGAAGACATCTTAAGGCAGCCCTGTTCAGGGAAGTTTTAGTGTATTTTTGGTCTCTGGGGAAGCTGCCCAGAGTGGCTGGGGAAACCCAGCCAGATGGGCAGGGTACAAATAATAAATTATTATTATTATTATTATTATTATTATTATTATAGCTCCAACTTTGAACGATGTGATTTTCTGCCTGCTCGTTCTGTGACGTGAGCTATCTGCAAGGAGTCTGTGTTCACAGCCAAGTCCTTGTGGGCAAAAAATCCTGCCACACTGAAAGGGAAAAAACCCAAAAGGATGCTCCGGCCATCAGGAAGGCGAAGAGGGTACAATGACCAGAAGACGCAGCCCTATTCCATTGCTCCACTCTGGGCTGGCATTGTGAGGGACTTACAAAGGCCCATCATGAGATTTGAGCAATCAAGGTCTATACAAGAGCTTGTCCCACACTAGTATGTTTTTCTTTTCTTTTTTTTCCAAAAATTTTATTGCTTTTTACAATACTATAGACAAACAAACACACAAAACAAACAAACAAACCAAACATAACAAACATAAATCATAACCTTATTAAAAATAACAGTTATTAACTTTGTAGAGCGACTTCCTCGTTTCCCCTTGGTTGAATTTCATTGCATGTCCTTATAACGGTTTTCCAAATCCCAACTTTTGCTCAGTATGTTTTTCAGCCAGCAAAGCTGTGCAACCTGGGGACCAGGAAGAAATTTTGTTCACACCGTCCTTATTGGCAATGGATGGGCACATTTGCCACTTGCCATGGGGTAAGCCTTCTTTTGATAGTTTAAGACTATCATTTCTTTAGACTATCAACTGTAGCAGCCATAACTGGTGAAGTTATGCTTCTGTCTTAACGGGAGCATTGTGTGGTGAGTTTTCATGGTGCTGGGGACCTGCCATTTGTAGACATGTGGAATGGTGGGGCAAAGACTGACCAGTTGATCTGGGTGGCTCTCAACCCACCCAAATGGCTAGATATGAGGCTTAACTACAGGACAATAGGCTCAAGTGTGAGAGATCAGCTGGTAGAGCATGAGACTCTTCATCTTAAGGTTGTGGGATCAAGCCCCATTCCTGCATCGCAGGGGGTTGGACTAGATGACACTTATGGCCCCTTCCAACTCTACCTTTCTATGACTCTGTGATTTGCAGCAGGCTATACGGATGCAGGTGGCACTGTGGGTTAAACCACAGAGCCTAGGACTTGCTGATCAGAAGGTCAGCGGTTCGAATCCCCGCGACGGGGTGAGCTCCCGTTGCTCGGTCCCTGCTCCTGCCAACCTAGCAGTTCGAAAGCACGTCAAAGTGCAAGTAGATAAATAGGTACCACTCGGGCAGGAAGGTAAATGGCGTTTCCGTGCACTGCTCTGGTTCGCCAGAAGCGGCTTAGTCATGCTGGCCACATGACCCGGAAGCTGTACGCCGGCTCTCTCAGCCAATAAAGTGAGATGAGCGCCTCAACCCCAGAGTCGGTCACAACTGGACCTAATGGTCAGGGGTCCCTTTACCTTTATAGCCAGGCTATATATACTCCCAAACACTGGGAGTCTCTCATGATGGGAGTCAAAATTCATATCTCAATTCATATGACCTTGGTTGTTGTCAGCCTAGCATTGATGCCAGTAGCTTACTGATTACACCCACCTCATTCATTACTGACTCTCAGAGAGAGGGGGGGAAATCCTACATTGTGATTGTATCAGAAAATTAATATGTTCTGTACTTCAGATACTGACTCATTCATAAATGTGCAACTTAATAAAATGCAGTATATACAACATTATTCATGAACAAACTAGCTTCAGATTGACAAGCAAGTTCCTTTTTTTTTTAAATCAGTAAAAATGGTTAGACAGTCAAGACATTGACGTGAACCGTATTTCAGCTGCCATAGCCCGGAATGATAAAACAGAAAGAAAAGGCTTTGACAATAACATTCAATGAAAAATATTTCAAAAGCACTTCGGTACAGAAAAAGCCCAAAAGATTAATGTCACAAAATTATTGGAGATAAAAACAAAATTCCCAGAATGATTATTGAAAACTAAAAAATGTACAGGGAAATGTTGAACAGCAGAGGCAGAGACACCGGTTGCAGTACTAGGCCAGGGGTTTGAGTAATTGCAGGATCTGGGCCATTGTCACTGCAAAGACTGAGACTGGCCCCAAACTGAGTTGTTCACAGGCTGTGGCTGAAACCAAGGGATCTGGGCCAAGCTAGATAGAGCAATAGCAGCTACATTTATTGTTCACGTGTTTGCGTGTCGAGGTCCCCAATACACCCCAAAGGAAAACACAATTGACACTTAATTTTTGTTTAATTTTTTTGGCATAATTTTGGCCACAACTTTATTCAAATACAGCAATGTGAGTGGTTGCTTAGGCATTGGTAGCACTAACTGACCCCGCACGGGGACAGCTCTGACATTTGCACCCCCAGCGAAGTCAGGAAGGGTAAGTCACCTGGGGAGAGAGACGGGACTGGGAACCATGCCTCACCTCTCCCCAGCATGCTCCCAGGGGCTTGCGTGGCCCTAGGCCCTTGCCAGGGGGTTTCGGACAAAAGCATGGGGGAGCCCCTGGGTTCCTTTAACGGTAAAACCCTTCAGCAGCAGCATTTTGGAGGGGCAGGCACAGCCGAATCCATACCCCTCCAGCAACTAATTCCAGACCAATGCCTAACCGCAAACCTTACAAGTTGTGACGATTTGCTACACGGTAGGCGAAAACCAAGTGGCACACACTAATCAGCCAAATGGCAAAATTCCTACCGGGCCCCTGCCCCAAAGCAGACGACCCCATGACAGGCAATAGCAAGGTCAAGCAAACAGCCTAACATTAGGGAAGAGAGGGCGGGTGATCCGAAGCACGCAGCGAAAGAGGACGTCCGTTGCTGCGTGCCTTGTATTTAACAAATAGGGCTGTCAATCACTAAATGGCAACATCTAAATTTCCCCAGTAACAGCCCACCCCTGCTTACAAGTTGGCCAAACCATCTGCCCAGAAACAGCAAGGTGTCTTGGAATCCCCAACCGCAACATGTGCTCTCCGTGATGGAGAACACGCTTGGCTGCATTCCCATGTAAAGCAGAGGGTGGGATTGCTTCTTTTCTGAGAGATCTAATTTTCTCAGACATATAGATTTTTACATTAAAAGCTGGGTGGTGTGATATGTGCGTATAAAAGGTAAAGGTAAAGCACCCCTGACAGTTAATTCCAGTCGCGAACGACTCTGGGGTTGCGGCGCTCATCTCGCTTTACTGGCCGAGGGAGCTGACGTTTGCCCACAGACAGTTTTTCTGGGTCATGTGGCCAGCATGACAAAGCCGCTTCTGGCGAAACCAGAGCAGCGCATGGAAACGTCGTTTATACTTCCCGCCGGAGCAGTACCTATTTATCTACCTGCACTGGTGTGCTTTCGAACTGCTAGGTTGGCAGGAGCTGGGACTGAGCAACGGGAGCTCACCCCGTCGTGGGGATTCAAACCCCTGACCTTCCAATCGGCAAGCCCTAGGCTCAGTGGTTTAGACCACAGCGCCACCCACATCCCTATATACATGGGCATTAATACATATGGTTCCCTCATCTGTGAGGAATTGTTGTGGTCTGCCTAGGATGACTTTTACTAAGTTGGCTGCTGTTTGTATAGACAAACAGCAGAACAGAGCAAATGTTTCTCTAGTTTAGGGTCATACTGCACTGGTCTGGTCTTTTCCCAGAATTCCCATCAAGGGCTTGTCACCTCAAATTCACTTTGTATAGGGAGGGGTAAATTTCACTCACTGTGCATATCGCACAACCCTAATTATCCATTTCTTTATATTAATGATGAAATAATACAATCTTCTATTTTCTCTAATTAACTTTATTAGGAAGGCATTTTATGTGCCTATTTTTAAAAAATGAAATTCCATTAAAAGTCAGCATATCAGATCTTATTAATTCTATTACATTACAACATGAAACATTTCACTGGAGAAAGGGAGGGGAAGAGAACTGAATCAAAACCAAATGCTAAGCTTTGATAATATTGATTTATTTTTTTTGAAAAACCCAGCACATTCACTTTTCTTTCTCTGTCATTTTAAAACAGTCTGTGAAAACTTTTCTAATGTGAAATGAGTTTTCCCTCCCCCTTCAACAGAGATCAGGTTATCATATCCTGCTTTTTATCTATTCCTTTTAATCCATTCCTCAGCAGCAGAGTGCTGAGGCAGCCAACAATTCCAGTTATTCAGTCCATGGCCCCTGGTTTTAGTTTAATTTTAGCTTACATAACATGTGTATCTTGCTTTTCCATTGAAAAAATAACTAAGGCCAGTTGCAATAAAAAGGACACAATTTAACAGATCAAAGCAATTTTTAAAAATAATAACAATAATAATAATTAAGGAAGGAATCATAACCCTTAAGCTGAATGCTTGGAGTCATTTAGGATCAGGTGGGGTGGTCCTGCTGTTGAAGCTCTGCTAGTGGGCTGGGGGGGACGGACTGTGGAGGTCCCCATTAAACCCATGAAAAATATGAGCTACTGCCAGAAGCACTTCCACCAGAAGTGGCCAGAATAAGCCCCCAAAACATTACGGGGCAGAGTAGGGCAAGCAACGGATCCAGTGCCGGATTTACTTATAAGCTAAACAAGCTATAGCTTAGGACCCCACTGTCTTGGGGTCCTCCAAAAAAGTAAAGGAGGAAAAACCCGGATGTACAGTTCCAAAATATAAGATAAAAAACAAATAAAATGAAACCTACATACAGCAACAGTGTTTTGCGTTGTGTAGGCTCCTATGATGTAAGTAATGGGCCCCACCTGCTAGCCTGCTCCCTAAAATATCACAGTTCAACAATTACCGTGATAAAATACATATTTTGTTATTTGCAAATGGCTTTAGATACCTATTAGGTCCATAAATTTCCATACAGCATATATTCAACACAAAAAACAGCGACAATTTGTTGTTGACAAAGGACAGCTGAAAGGGCCCCATTACCTTCAGTAGCTTAAAAGGTCCAGTTGTGGCCGACTCTAGGGTTGTGGCGCTCATCTCACTCTATTGGCTGAGAGAGCCGGCGTACAGCTTCCGGGTCATGTGGCCAGCATGACTAAGCCGCTTCGGCCCTGAATGGATTTACTGCTGCTGAGGACACCACAGACTCTACCCCCCCCCCATGTTGGTGACTTGTGGAAGCCAGTTGGTAGTTCACCACAACTCAAACCATGTGATGGACCTCTAGCAGAGTATCTGGAGCCCCAGCAGAGTCTGCAGATATTTCCTGCTCCCAGTAGGGCAGCTTCCCCAGTTAAGGGGAAAACTCCCATCCCACACAGTTCGAAGTAACAAAGGGTTTATTGTCTCCAGACACAACAAAGTGAAACACTGCTTTTGTCAGGCAGCAGAGGAACCAACCCCTACGGCGGGTTGCCAGGAACAGACAAGGCATGGAAAAGTCCTTACCATCTGCTTTTACTCAAAAGAGGCTTGGGAAAGTGGGTACACGGGTGGCGCTGTGGTCTAAACCACTGAGCCTCTTGGGCTTGCCGATCAGAAGGTTGGCGGTTTGAGTCCCCGCGACGTTGTGAGCTCCCATTGCTCTGTCCCAGCTCCTACCAACCTAGCAGTTCGAAAGAACGCCAGAGCATGTAGATAGATAGGTACCATTCCGGTGGGAAGGTAAACGGTGTTTCCATGCATTGCTCTGGTTTCACCAGTAGCGGCTTAGTCATGCTGGCCACATGACCCGGAAGCTGTCTGCGGACAAACGCCGGCTCCCTCAGCCTGTAAAGCGAAATGAGCACCACAACCCCAGAGTTGTCTGCAAGTGGACTTAACTGTCAGGGGTCCTTTACCTTTACCTTTTCCCCCTTGTTGCATCCTTCCTTCTCCATCCCACGCACTATCACCAATATGTGGATTTGCTTAGTGACCCCCATTCCAAGTGTACAAAGCAGCCTTCCTCAACCTGGTGCTCTCCAGATGTTTTGGACAACATCTCCCATCTATCAGGAGGCAGCTGGCATGTAGCACACTTGGGTAACAGCTGGGAGAAACCAGGCACACAGCGAACTATGTTATCAGTTATT